ATGCAGTCATGATCGATTAGCGGTGCAAGTTATGTAACTTGCTATTTAACATGCGCGCTCGCAAATCTTCGCAACAAAACCTCGACTCCAGGCATTGCAGTCTCCGTGGGCCATGCGACGTCGGCTCCAGCAGCCAATACTGAGCCGTGGCCAACCTGTGGACAACAATGATGACGCTCCTGAGGAAAACATTTTTGTACGCTTTAGAGTATCAAATATTACATTAAGAAGGTAGTCTGGGCGTGTATTTCACATACACGATTTTTAGACTGATGATAAGATAGGATTGACCCTTACGGCACGGCGATGTGAGCTGGAATCTGGTGGTGAAAATGGAAGGGTAATGGTAAAATAATTGTTTTTGGTGCTTCTGTGACTGCTATTCGGTCAGATTTACCATGGCGCCCGCCTCCTGGAGTCAGTTGCAGTGGCCAACGCCTTTCGGTTTTGATGTAGTTTGTTTCACTAATCGATTCTGCAAATCATAAATGTATTCCGGCAAACTTGGAGTGTCTTTTTTCGTTTTGAACTCATTTAGACCCTCTCTATTCAAAAATAGGGAGACTCCTTCTTTTCTTCCATGCAACGGGCCCCTTGAGAAGAACACTTGGGACACATTACTGCTCCCCTCAGCGGCTGAAGGGTCATTCCGTCCCATCGCGGTGTGTCCGCCGGCTGCCATTCAGATAACACGGGGCGGGATCCCCTGGTCGATTCGGAGGGATGCATCACATCAGTTTGTTCTCCTGCCTGACACAGGAGGCCTTCTGATCCGCGCACGTGGCCCCGGATCAACGCAGGAGTTGTTATTGACGCAAAGTTTCTCTGATCGCCGCAGGCGGTCAATAATCTTCACATAGACTCCAGTTTCCTGTTCTTCAGAGATATTGACCACCCCTGAACGTGGACTGTAAGTCGAAATGGGGCCCCAAATTGGTAATGACACGGGTAGCTCATGTTTGTCTTAAATGTTTTACATTCAGTCGGGATGAAGTACTGAAAAATAATTATGAACATGGGTGCTCACAAATCTTAGCAACATCCTCGACACCCGGCGTTTGCAGTCTCCATAGACGGCACGGCGTCGGCCTTGCTGCTGTGACACTATGCGATGGCTAATGGGTAAACGAAAATGACGACGCATCTTCAGTAAAATGACTGTTGAGCTAGGTAAATCGGCATGCATGTTTGTAGTGGTACAAAAGTAAGCTAAACACAATCTAAACTTGAAAAGTGGGGAAGGGCAGTTAGCATTGCTGGCCCCCATCTTGAAAAGTAGGGGGAATTAGCCCCCTATCTCCCCCCTCCCGTTCCACCACCCATGCGTGCAATCTGCTCATCTCGCCCAGCATCATTGCTTTTTGATCCCCGAGCTCCCTTTAAGAACTCTTACGACTAAGCTGCCTTTCCACCGCGCACCCGCAGTGGCGTATGTTGTTTGCGTTGGGTATTTCGTGGACCTAGCAGCCCAGCAAAAAAGTTTCTCGCATTTGGGACATTTGCAGGAGATTTCCTTCACGAGCAGTGGTTTGGACCTACAGCAAGCTATACGCTTACCTACACCTGCTCGCACAATCATGGTACCAGGTACATGGATCCAAGTTTGAAAACTCGCATCCGCCCCGCAAGGAAAGTTTTCCCCAAAAGCCTGCAACGTCCACCAAATTTGTCATGCCATGCATGCGTACTTACCCTTAAATACTTCTTGGTGGTAAAATAAGAAGCTGTAAGGAGCCTACAAACATATTCGTTCCCTCACCTGTGCTTTTTTTTCACAGCTAACATTAAGAGACTCCATTGCTCATTCCTTATGCACGTGTCTAATTTCATCACAATACAAAGGTACCACAAGAAGCCATGCATCTAAAAACAAACGTTCCTTCACCTGTTTTATAAGCTAACACTGCGTGCAGTTGTTTATCTTATTGATTTCAAAATTTGAAACTATTGCTAAAATTGAAGAAGCTACCGAAAAACTAACACATGCAATCCAGTTGACCTCAGGCATAAAATCCTCTCCCTCAAGGACAAAATCCTGTCAGCCCTTTAGAAGACTCCTCAAAAGAACCTGCTATCCATGCATCGAGAGAAAGTAAATCAAACAGCTACAACCAATATAAGAGTGCAAAAACCAAAAGTGACCTTGCGTTAACGACATTCGCGACAGAACATGACTCGCTCTATGATGGAGAGCGGCGGAACCTGGTCCTTATTGCTTCCCCACGCCGATTGTGTTGCAGGGAGTACCAATGCCTTTAGCGGGAGGGGGCGGGGGAGGTGAGTAATTTATTTGTTAATTTCTGACACTTGACCCCGGCCGCGATTGACACGTCTCTTCAGAAATCATGAAGAATGACGTCGTACTGGATTTGCTCAGACCAAGGGCGTCAGCGCGTCGGACATAATCATTTCGAATCCATAATCGATATTTGATTATAAGCAACACACGCCACACAGACAAAACACAATGGTCGAACAATACACATCGCTCAGTAATGCTCATTACAAATGCGCTCGTCATTTTCTATGCCTACGCCGAACTGGCCAGGCAACGTCAGAACGATCACGTCAGACGATCAGACGTCAGAACTGACCACGTCAGATCACCAGACGTCAGAACTGACCACGTCAGATCACCAGACGTCAGAACTGACCACGTCAGATCACCAGACGTCAGAACTGACCACGTCAGATCACCAGACGTCAGAACTGACCACGTCAGACGACCAGGCTTCAGAACTGACCACGTCAGACGACCAGACTTCGGAACTGACCACGTCAGGTCACCAGACGTCAGAACTGACCCACGTCAGATCACCAGACGTCAGAACTGACCACGTCAGATCACCAGACGTCAGAACTGACCACGTCAGATCACCAGACGTCAGAACTGACCACGTCAGATCACCAGACGTCAGAACGATCACGTCAGACGATCGGACGTCAGAACTGACCACGTCCGACGACCAGACTTCAGAACTGACCACGTCAGATCACCAGACGTCAGACTGACCACGTCAGATCACCAGACGTCAGAACTGACCACGTCAGATCACCAGACGTCAGAACGATCACGTCAGACGATCAGACGTCAGAACTGACCACGTCAGACGACCAGACTTCAGAACTGACCACGTCAGATCACCAGACGTCAGAACTGACCACGTCAGATCACCAGACTTCAGAACTGACCACGTCAGATCACCAGACGTCAGAACTGACCACGTCAGACGACCAGACTTCAGAACTGACCACGTCAGATCACCAGACGTCAGAACTGGCCACGTCAGATCACCAGACGTCAGAACTGACCACGTCAGACGACCAGACTTCAGAACTGACCCACGTCAGATCACCAGACGTCAGAACTGACCCACGTCAGATCACCAGACGTCAGAACTGACCGCGTCAGACGACCAGACTTTAGAACTGACCACGTCAGATCACCAGACGCCAGAACTGACCACGTCAGATCACCAGCGTCAGAACTGACCACGTCAGATCACCAGCGTCAGAACTGACCACGTCAGACGACCAGACTTCAGAACTGACCATGTCAGAGCTGACCACGTCAGATCACCAGACGTCAGAACTGACCACGTCAGATCACCAGACGTCAGAACTGACCACGTCAGATCACCAGACGTCAGAACTGACCACGTCAGATCACCAGACGTCAGAAACTGACCACGTCAGACGATCAGACGTCAGAACTGACCACGTCAGACGATCAGACGTCAGAACTGACCCGCGTCAGATCACCAGACGTCAGAACTGACCACGTCAGATCACCAGACGTCAGAACTGACCACGTCAGATCACCAGACGTCAGAACTGACCACGTCAGATCACCAGACGTCAGAACTGACCACGTCAGACGATCAGACGTCAGAACTGACCACGTCAGACGACCAGACTTCAGAACTGACCACGTCAGATCACCAGACGTCAGAACTGACCACGTCAGAGCTGACCAAGTCAGAACTGACTGAGCTGGTTGGTGACCGGCTTTATATCTCATTTCATAAAGCTCCATCAGCAGCCCTTTTGGTCGAAGGACACTTGCCACACCTTTCCTTTTGCGCAGCATATTTGAGCATGGCTGATAGGATTATATCAACGCTAATTATGCGCTTAAACGATCGTCTGTCGAGGAAGAATCTGACTATCCATTTCAAGTCAACGTGACCTTTTCGTTCCGTGGGAGACTAAAATAGTATGAAATCCATGGTCAAATGATACAGTGAAACGACCCGATACTATCAACGAAAATTGGTCTCGTTTATCTTCCATAGACTATAGCACGAGACGTTTGCAAGCTTTTGAAAAATAGCGTGGCCTGGCATATGCGAACAAGAGACCATGCAGCATGGCTCGTTGGCACTGACAGGAGTCGCATTCCCATATATGTGTGGGGGGAAATTGATCTTACGCGGCATTCTCAAAATTTATTTCAACTGCTGGAAGTACAGACCAGTTTGTTATGACGAACACTGATTAGGCAGAGTGTAGAGAAAGCAAGAATACACAGGAGTTGGCACGCTTAAGACAGATTAGGTATGTGCCCACAGGATGTCACGTGATACATTATGAACAGGTCACCAACAGTGGTGTGCTAAGGTGGCGTTCCCACCAGTTCAAATACATTTTTTATTCACTTCTCTTGTTCAGTACGTCTTAAGTTTTCCCGAATGCATTGTGATCCTGAGGAGGATATTGGAGATCACAACTTCAACATCGAGTACACACCCAGGAGACCTTTCCGGATTTGGCTCACTTTCCCCCGGAAGTGTGTGGCGGGGGGGGGGGAGGGGTGCGGACCTCCACTGGACAGGAGCTCATACACCTGCCCGCCACCCTGGCTGCGGCTGATTTCTTAACCGGCATAGCGGTGGCTCATGGGAGCTGATGGCTGATGCTGTGAGTTCACGCGCTGCAGCAGCTACTGCAGGTCCTCGGCCCAGCGGTAGCCGGCCTCGTAACTCCAGCTGCGGTCGTACCTGACCAGTCGTACGTCCATGCCGGCCGCTGTCGCAGCAGCTGCGCGGACCGTGAAAGTTGATGGTGATCGGGGACGGGTCAGTTGCGTCCAGGAACGCATTCGGTCTATTGGCTCTGTACACGCGGATCCGGCCGGGCTCGAAGCGGATTCGGAACTTGCGCAGCTCACTCCGGCTGACAATACCTGACATTTTTTTGGAGGCCAGAGTCGCCCAGCCGACGCCGGGAGTGTGGCGCTGCACCCTGCTGTACTGGTTGCCCCAGCCTCCGATGACGATGCTGTACATGTGTGAGTGGTCCCAGATGACGGTGTCGCTGGCGAGCCAGTTGCAGTCGTTGGAGGCGCGGCAGTCGAACGTCACCGAGAAGGTCTGCTCCGTCGCGCGGCGGAACAACGTGGAATACCTGACGGCGACGGAGGTAAGGTTATGAAATGGCGCGACCTATTTCAAGGTTCAGAAGCCCTGTCTGTCGATGCTTTGGTCGCAGAAGCACTCGCTGCAGACATCAAAGCGATTCCAGACGCACCAAAGCTCAGATTCACCAACCCTCTGGTTCCAAATGATCCTTTGCAGGTCTAGGCATGGACGCGTTAGATCTTGATTTGGGCCGAGTCGTTTGGATGAAGATGCTGCGCAGTGCTGCTCCTAGCATGTAAATCTCGCGAAATTCGAAGCTGGTTGCCCGCTCTGATGAAGCATGAGTGTCCATTTATGTTTTCAATTCATATTTACGATGTACGCTGTAATTTTTCGCGCGAGTAAGCTCGCCGATGGCACTACATCACAAATTTCTGAAATCGCTTGCGCGGTATTGCCCGAAAGACAAGAAATCATTAGGTTCACCACATGGTTGGAACAACCCTTCGCACTGCGCCTTTTAGCAGTTTGTGGGTTAGCGTTCTGAGCAGCCTCACCTGGGTATGGTGTAGACGCGGTCATCGGACCAGTCTCCCATCCAGAGGTCCACCATGTCCTTTGTAAAGCGCCACCGTCCCTGCAGCGCGGTGGAGATGCCGATGTAGCCGGGCGAGAAGCGCTCTGGGTCATCCCAGCTGATGTAGGTGTCGATTCCCGGCCTGTAGAAGCGTATCTGGCCGCTGCACCAGTGCAGGCCGTACCTGCGGTAGTTGTTGCCGTCCAGCAGATCACCTGAGTAGGAGGCGAAGGTGTCACTCCTGACACCCTCCTGAATCCTCTCGGCGTAGGTGGCGCTGTTGCCATTGTAGCCAATGCGAAAGTGGTAGCGGTTGGAGTAATGCGTGTTGGACTCGGTGAGCACAAACCGTAGATCGTCAGTGGCCTGCGCGTCGAATTCCATGGAACAGATCCCGTTGACCAGCTCCTTGAACACCCAGTGTTCGCCGTCGGTGGTGAGCTCGATGTTGGTCTTCTCGCAGAGTGTGGTGTTGTACTTCCAGCTTGCGGAGTCGCAGACACACTGGCTGGACGAGCACTGTGTGCCGCCAGTGATGTGGTACCGGCACTGGTTGTGCTCCCGACACGGCTCATCCAGCCTGCGCAGGCAGATGTCGTCCCGGCAGCGGCCACCGTCCGTGCAGATGCTGTCAGGTCCACAGCTGGCTTTTGGACTCCTGGGACGGGTCGGAGACAACGTCGTACCAGATCCAGCCGTCAGTGCTGGTGATGTAGTAGCTGTGGTGGTCGCAGACGGTGACGGTGAAGATCTCGCAGACGGCGTCCACCCGGTGGTGGTTGAAGCTGCGGCAGTCGCCGCGCTGCAGGCAGACCAGCTGACACTGGGCGGCCGAAATGCCCGGGACCGTCTCGGCGACGGAGACGCCCGTCAGGCGGCGGTTCTGACCGCGGCGGGACGAGGCCCAGTGGCCGTGAGCCGGGCTCGCCAAGGCCAGGACGAGCGCCGCTAGCGATACGGAGCGCATGGTGTCAGCGTCCCCGCTGTCTGCCCAGAAATGGAGGAGCGATCGAAGTCCCGTCCACGCGCTTCGCTCGTTAATCTTTCAACAATAATCAATGTGGCTGCTTCCCCATGGCAGTGGCTGCCATGGGGAGGACGTGAATTGGCCCCGGTTTCCTTGGTATATGGTATGTTGTAGTCTGCTGTGGTCAGGCTCGGGCCTGTCAGCATGAAATAATTAATAATCGTGGCAATGTTCCGCCATGTTTTGCTGAGTTTTGCCTCAACGGCTGACGCGAGTGATGCGCATGAGCAGGGTGCAACGGGAGCGTACGCACGATCAGCGCCAGCGGCCGACGGATGGCGCATCTCCCGCTGGGCTGTTGACAGCAGCAGCGGCGCCGCTCGCTGCTGGCCCGGCCGCGGACGCGTGTCGCCTGCCTCCGGTGGCGGGCGCCGAGCCGTGACCTCGGGCCGCGCCGGCCGCAGCACACTGCGCCGACCCGGCCGGCCCCGGTTGTAGGCCGGGGGGGTCGCGGGAAAACGCGACCCGCGATTCCCTGCGGGCCGCTGTCGTTCTAGCACGATGCCGTTGGCATCGAAAGGGTCAGAATTCTTGCGAAGTGGGTATCAGTGTTTGCTGGAATGCTCAATGAAAGTTTAACGCGTTATTCAGATGCAAGTTTGGTGCGGGTCACTTGGGACCGGAGCTGCATATAGGTGACCTCACGCAACCAAAGCTCAAGACAGGGGGCTGCGTTGTGGCGCTTCCAACCCCACGCTTGAACATCACAAACATTGAACATTATACACCTTATTGCACATACGTATGCATACTCGATGCCGGGCCGCAGATGAAGAGGTTATGCCGTGTGGTCATTCGCCGAGTTTGCCCCGTTTCGAGGCTAACTTGGCGGACACCTCCGGGTTAGAAGAGTTCGACGCTTATCGATGGCGTTCCCCATCGCTTGTGTTTCAGTGTGCGGTAGACCAAGCTGAGCTTGTGCAATAATATTGACGAGCTGATCTCGCCCTCTTCCCCATGTCTGGGGCGGAGCGCACTGCCACTGCGGCATTCAGACGTGCCTCGTGTTGTCTCGGGGGGCTGCCGAAGCAGGCACCGGGGCCGGCTGGGTCTGCATTTAGACAAGCTGCACCTTGTGAATAAGATTTGACGGAATAAGTAGTGCGTAGTGAATTTCACGGACACGAGTTTCATTTTTTGGCAACATTCCAGCACGAAATTCGAACTTAAGCCTCCCAGCCAACGAAACTAATAGAAACCGTACTCTGTCCATGGTGTCACAGCTTCACGCCCAGCTCAGGTCAACCTCGGATTACATGGGACGGGACGGCAAGGCCTGTTTACCGTTCTACGCTTGCGGGCTAAAAATGTAACAGCTGTAGATGGTGGCACGTTTTCATCAGCAATAATCTCGTTGTGCATATATCCTAAATATATTAAGGTTTTTTGTGCCAGCAGACATGCAATATGATGTGTGGCAAAATATCATTTTGGACATAGTTATTATTGGAATAAGGTAACCTAGGCAGCCTTAGTCCGTCGCGCAGGCAAGGGGAGACAAAGGAGTATGTGCCCTCCCCCTTTGTTAGGTCCCGAGGGGCTCGGAGGGCCCCTGAGAACTGGCGATAAAGGCCCCGATTTTAGGGTCATAAGGGATGACCGGAAGCCGCAGAGGCCCCAGCCTGTAGGACTGGGTCCTCATGCAAGCCAGAGGACCTTGCCTTGTCGGACATTTAAAATACCACGCAAGATGTTGCTTGTCTGTGTTGGAAGTTTTGTCCTTGTTCTTCCCAATGGAACGACAATAGGCCTGTTTTGCTGCGATTTTCCACCGATCGGCAAAACCGTGCTGCCAGTCCTAGATCATGAAGATGATGCCAGTTGATAATATTACTGATGCGTCATGATGAAGACAAATAAAACGCGGTGTCTCATATCTTATCAGGTTTGCATAAGCCATCGAGCTTGTGACCCCCCTCCAGTCACGCCATAGATGTGTGAGGCGCCGCCGGGGAACGGCGTGACCTGGACTGGGCGTGGGTAGTCACTGCAATGGAACCTTGATTTGACGTTTTCACATTCGTAGGAGAAAACATTGTTCTTGGAATTACTCCCGGCCAAGACATATCAGATCGCGATCAGATCAGATCAGATCAGATCAAATCAGATCAGATCAAGACATGTCAGAATCTGCAGAAGGCTGTGCAGGCGGTCTCTTAAACTTAGGCAGTTGTAGCTCCGGCAAAATTTTCCCAAGCCTGCGTACAGAGACATGTTGTCACCACATACTCAAACTTGTATTTGGATTCCTGATTACCGTGGTCGGGTGGTAACTGTCGCCTGTCTCCAGCCCATTCGGCCCTAGTTTTTCAGCTAAAACCTGTGGGACGAGTACTCGAGTAATTGGTGTGACGTATGTACATAGATGGGTATGTGTGTGTATATATGGATATGTAGACACGACATCCAGTTGTATGGCCCGGTCAGGTCCATTTTCAAGCACCGGCCATGATTTTACGAATGCATTTTACCGATCAGACCCGCTGGCGACTTCTTGCCAGCGCGTAGTCCGCAATCCATCCGCAGTGTGGTAGGCAGTAGTTTTATAATGTTTGCACCCCACCTGTGGTGTATTTCCAGGCGGGAACGCTTAAACCATTCGGCATTTCAATGTAAACATCTTACACAACGGCGAGTTTTGTTGGTCAGAGATAAGCTATGATTTTTTTTGAAAAAGTTTTCTTTTTCTCCATTATATTCGGGAGTGGTCATTGAATTTAGTCACAAGATCGATCCAAACATTTTCGAGAATTTTTTTAGTTACACTTATCGTATTTCTCCTTTCTTTTGTGTTCAGTCGGAGCGGTTTGTACACAAGCGACAGGAACGAAACGCCTCGGCAAGTTTCGAACATTGCCATCAATACTGATTTCGCTGGATACGACGCAGCTCCGGCGATTGTGGCAGATTATGGTGGAAGACCTCACGCAGCACGAACCGGCGAAGTTCGCCCACCTCACATTGCATTGCATTGCAGCTTTGTCACATTGTCTTGTGTTGCTGTCTGGCTTTGGCTGTAGAATCGGCAGCCATGCACGCAACCAGTGAGAACTTGGCTTTATCTGTCATGAACTTGGCTTTATCTGCGAGCACCCTGATTGGTGCCGTAGTCCCCAGTCCCTGCTATTACACGAAGCGCATGCGTTAGACGGACTGCTCAGTCATGAACTCTTGGCAACAGAGTGACGTCTTTAGAGCGTTGATAAGGTCCTCAGCGCACTTTCCCTGAAGTGCAGCGCCCACGCCTGTCTGATTCAGGGCTCGCTCAGTCGTGGTTAGAGTCCTTTCGGTCAGCAATGACCATTTGAAAGCTATGGAAAGGGGACTGGCCGAGTGTTGGACAAGACCGCATGCATCTGAGAGTCAGATTTATGCCATCTGCTACTGAGACTTACTCCGTGCGGGTACCTTGTTTGGGACAGTAAGCGCACCATCAGGCGTGTTTCCCGCCAAAGTGGACAGTAAGCGGATGATCAGGCGTATTTCCCGCCAAGGTGGACAGAAAGCGGACGATCAGGCGTGCTTCCCGCCAAGGTGGACAGTGGGCGCATGATCGGGCGTGTTTCCCGCCAAGGTGGACAATGGACGGAATATCGGGCGTGTTTCCCGCCAAGGTGGACAATAAGTGAATGATCAGACATGTTTCCCGCCAAGGTGGGCAGTGGGCGGATGATCAGACGTGTTCCCCGCCAAGGTGGACAGTGGGCGGATGATCGGGCGTGTTTCTCGCCAAGGTGGACAGTGGGCGGATGATCGGGCGTGTTTCCCTCCAAGGTGGACAGTGAGCGGGTGATCGGCAGGCAGGGAATGCTGGGAACGCATATACACCTGCATTCCCGGTGCCCCCCCCCCCCCCCTCCCTCTTTCCCTCGAGCAGATGTCCGGGCTCGGGCGGCCTCTCCAGCTGCGGCGAGGGAGGACTCCGGCCCCACCTGACGCACTCGGTCGTCCCCGCCAGATGGCGGCATGGTGCACACGGTCTGACCCTGATTGGTTGTTGGACACGTCGCTAGATGGCAGGTTAGGTCGGCACAGGTGGCTAATGCTTTTGGCCTAATGCGGCATGCCCTGTGACAGATCGGTACTTCAAGTAATTTGTACCCGAAGCCAACGGACCTTTTGTTTTTGGGGACCAACGGGCCCAATTTTGTGAACTTGCATGGGTCCCACAGCACTATCTCTGTGGATTTCATAACTGTCATGCTTTTGTCGATTACATGACATCCATGCACGTACATGTAAGGTGGCCACGCGCCGCATCTCCATGTCTGGGGCCAAGCATATCAATATTGCGAATGGCCGTTGGCATTGATGTGCAGCGAAGATCACGACCTACCTGCAATGCTGTAGCAGCACTACTGATTTGACCATATTAACACTGGAATTAGAGTCGACTGCACTCTGACTCTGAGTGTGATAGTTGACTACACTCTGACTGATTTCAACACGGTTTTAGTCGAGTCCATACCACATTGACTCAGTAAGCCTTGAATGATTCCGGTGTCTGCGCTGAGTCATCTGGATCCGGAGTTCTCCGAGAGTCAATCAACTAGTTGACTTAGGTCCCTGGCTTTTGTTGGCTTAGTGGACTCAGGTGTCTGACTTAAGTCAGGATAGTTGACTCAGGTATCTGACCTAGGCTAGCCTGGCTGACTCAGGTCTTTAAGTTATTGACAACAACATCGATTTATCATTTTGGATCCATTAATTGCGTGGAGAGTTTGCTGTTAAAGTATGTTTGTAGCAATATTCATTGGGCACCATTTTTGGGGAGACAGAAAGAGCGAAAAGGAGAATGTCTCCCATCCAGTAGTGTCCAGCATTGCAAGACAGCAACGAGGGACAGCGTAGTAGTGAGAATTCGAGGCTACCAGCTCAAGGCCTTTCTCGGATGACCGGCGATCGTACTAAGTCGTGTTCGTGTTGAGCCGCATTTGGCCGGCGCGTATTTGGCATCGACACATGCTAACAAAACGGACTATCACAGTCGGTAACACGACGCACCGACATCCAAGAACTTTCGATTCGCCCGCTGCGTCAAACCGCGCCACCGCACCAGTGCTGACGCCGGGTTTGGCCTCCCCGGGTGACCAAAGACCGACTGTGGGCCCGCCTGTCGCAGGGACGGGGACCAACGGACGGGGACAGGGACGCCTCCCTGATCAGCAATCCCTTACCTGCTTCAGACAGCAAGCTGGCCCGCTCACCTTTATAGCCAAACCAGACGCACGCCCTGGGGCTGATCGGATGGCTCATGCACGACATAATACCCACCATGGCTTCTACGGAGACCAGAATATTCCTCATATGGTCAGGAAGTGACTGCAGACACTTGCACCACGGCTGTTGAGAGAGGTGTCACTTGCCAGAGTCAGTTTGAAGGCTGAACAGATAAAGTTGACATCAGTTAGAAGGCTGAGCAAATAAAGTCGACCCAAAATACTATCCAAGCCTGATTTCTCGCCGGACTTAAGTCACTTTGATTAGGGTCACTCATGCCAAAAGTTAGATAAGAAACATTTGGTCGCTTCCATTTGTTCTGTTTATGCTGAGAAACAACCTCCCTTTGAAACCAATGTCATAGTGATAAAGATGATAAAGGTTGATGATGCCATAGGTAGCGGTGTGTTTGTGATCTAGTGCACCAACAGCTCAAACACTTGCGACATCGCAGTGGCCCAGTGTACCCTTTTTACTGAGAGGCATCGAAGGAAGGCTCAAAAGAGCATTGAGGGAGCGCGACTAAACAATGGGGGGGGGGGTCAGCCCCCCCCGGAGAGCATACAAAGGGCCCCCCAAGCCTGTGAGTGGATGCTGAAGAAACAAATACTGCTGAAAATGCTTTTCATTGATGTGTTAGACATAACATAAGCACTGTTCATCATGATTTATTATAGAGATCGAAGGAAATGAAATTGCGTGTGCTGAGCGGGTATTCATATTCCACGGGCAACAGGCGGCTTAGGACACGGTGCTTCTGGTGATGTTGGGTCAGGGTGCGGTGCTACGGGTGATGTTGGGTCACAGTACGGTGCTCCAGGTGATGTTGAGTCAGGGTACGGTGGTACGGGTAATGTTGGGTAAGGGTACAGTGCTACAGGTGATGTTGGGTAATGGTGCGGTGCTACAAGTCATACTGGGCCAGGGTTCAGTGCTACGGATGTTTTTGGGTAAGGGTACGGTGCTACCGATGATGTTGGGTCAGGGTGCGGTGTCACCGGTGATGTTGGGTCAGGGTACGGTGCTACGGGTAATGTTGGGGTCAGGGTACGGTGCTACGGGTAATGTTGGGTCAGGGTACGGTGCTACGGGTGATTTTGGGTCAGGGTACGGTGCTACGGGTGATGTTGGGGCAAGGGTAAGGTGCTACAAGTGATGTTGGGTCAGGGTTCAGTGCCACGGATGTTTCTGGGTAATGGTACGGTGCTACCGGTGATGTTGGGTCAGGGTACGGTGCTACGGGTAATGTTGGGTCAGGGTACGGTGCTACGGGTGATGTTAGGTAAGGGTACAATGCTACGGGTGGTGTTGGGTCAGGGTACGGTGCTACGGGTATTGGGTGGTTTAGAATACGACATTACAAATGGGCTGCTTAGTTTTCGGTACTGTGGTGAATGAGCGGATAAGGGTATGGTGTTACGTGTAATGGGCTGATTTGAGCACGGCGCTGTGGGTAGCGGGTGGGTTTGGGTGCGGTGCTGTGGGTGGCAGGAGGGTTAGCGTACGGATACAGAGGGAAGCCTACACGACGCCATCTGCTTGTCCTCCTCGCACCCGCTGCGTATATGGTGCGGCTTGATATCTTCCGTTTTCTCGCCTGCTTCGGAGACAATAAGGTGGCGGCCGGCGCGGCTGCGGGCGCAGGGGCTGCCATCAGCCCCGCAGACCGCCACACAGCTGACCTTCCGCCAGTTCTGGAGGAATGTTTTGATGCCAGACTGCACCGGCCCAGCAGTCGCTCGGGGAGTCGGATCGTCCCAGCCGAGCCGTGGCTATGTGCAGTAGTCACGGAATGTGTGGTGCTGTAATATGACTTGAGAGATATGCGTCCGTGTGGGGTGAGAGCGTGTCTAAGTTAGTTGCGGAGCCCGGGCGAAGAAGCGGTCGCTATCAAAGATGTTGGCACGTGGGAGCGTCTTTACAGTCCGGTCTGAGGGGAGGGGCCGCTCGCCTTCAGTGACCCCTCTGACTCCGTTCCTGACCTGAGTCTATCGGATCGTACATAAACATTACACTCACGACTGCCGCACGTGGTCTGGATAACAACATTCTAAAAAAGCATGTCAGCCTCACACCTATGTTGCATGTAAAACTGGCTCAAGGAAATCGTGCATCAGAAAATACGATGATTCTGAAGACCGCGAACTCAAAGAGGCCCCTGTCTGCCGTAAAGGGCCGCCAATGACAACAGGGAAGAAGAAAGACTACTTTCAAGCGCTGTCACAAAAAAGTGAAGAGGAGGCGCGGGATCCCATATCACTGTACAACATTAGGTAGAGCGATTGGGTCATCCAAAGGTCAGCATGAACTCAATCAATCCATAACTCTTAATATGGAGTGTAGACAAAGTATACAACAAACGCAAACACTTCGATTGAAGTAAAAATATAAAAAACGGAGACCCGGCGAGGGAGGTAAAGGATCAGTGAGTGTGGCGACGTACCAGGGAGTGTGGTTACTGACCCAGCGAGGGCGGTAATGGACCTGGCGGGGGCGGTAACGGGCCCGACGAGGTTGGTAACAGACCAGTGAGTGTGGTGGCTGACCCAGCGAGGGCGGTAACAGGCAAGAGAGCCGGGCGGCGTAACAGCGTTCGAGCCGCTGCCGCAGAGCAAACGCCGAGATGCCGCCGGGGGACGGGTCCGAGCCGGGCGGCGTCAGCGAGTGCCACTGCCGCTACCTCTGCCTCGGAGATCCCGACTGCCGAGGGTACGGCTCCAGCGACACCTCGGCCGCCTGCCGACTGACCCACCTGCTGCCGACGCCGGAGAGGATGGAGGAGAGCACCGATGTCTGGCGCTGGCACGTGCGCACCGGTATCCGCCAATTGGGCGAGCCGTGTACTACTACGAGCGACTGCTCGCTTCTGGTAGCCGGCGCGATCTGCCAGGCCAGCATGATAGATGATAGATGGATATGTGTGTGTATGTATGGACATGTCGACAGATATCCAGTCGCATGGCCCGGCTATGTCCATTTTCAAGCGCCGGCCATGGTTTTACAGATATATTTTACCGATCAGACCCGCTGGCGACTTCGTGCCAGCGCATAGTCCGAAATCCACCCGCAGTGTGGGAGGCAGTAGTTTTATGATGTTTGCATTCCACCTGTGGTGTATTTCCAGGCGGGAACGCTTAAACCATTCGGCATTTCAATGTAAGCGTCTTATACAACGGCGAGTTTTGTCGGTCAGAAATAAGCCATGTTTTTTAGAAAAGTTTGCTTTTCCTCCATAATTTTTGAATGTGGTTATTGTATTTAGTCACAATATCGATCCAAGCATTTTCGAGAAAAAAATTATTTACACTTATCGTATTCCTCCTTTTTTTGATTTTAGTCCGAGCGGTTTGTACACAAACGACAGGAACGAAACTCCTCGGCAAGTTTCGAGCATTGCCATCAATACTGATTTCGCTGGAAACGGCGTAGCTCCGACGATTGTGGCAGATTATAGTGGAAGACCTCGCACAGCACGAACGTACGAAGCTCGCCCACCTCATATTGCAACGGAAGCAATCGTATTTATTCGAAGGGCTGAGACCAAAGAAGCCGTTACAGACGTTACAGACGACACGATTTTCGACTCGATATCAATGCAAAACAAACAGGGGCGTACTTAAAATGCGTACGCATTGCTCGGGAAGTACCTGCACCCTTTGCTAAGAATTATAACGAATACGGAGAACGCACGACCGGATCCTTCAGGGGGAAAAATAAGACACCAGCCTTGTGTGACGTCAGTAATGGCACGCTTCATCGTTATATACTCAAAATCAACACACTACACAGAGATGATCTGAGTAGCAAGCTCATTGCATCCAAGAAACAGAAACACATTCTCTGACCACGACCTGCCTGCCGACGCTTGGCCAGTACGACAGACAGTAACTGCGCCATCTGCCGGCCAGCAGGCGTCACACCTCAGCGCAACGGGGCGGGTCTGTGTGACGCCTGCTGGGAGGTGACCCACGACAGGACCGGCTCAGCACAGCGGACCTCCGGGGCTGACACAGCCCTCAGCACGGTGTCAATCACGCACGGTCGCC